ACTGATGTCATACCGCTAGTTTGACTTGGTTAATTGGAATCGGACAATATAATATAAACTTGGATGGAAGAGGTTTATAGACTTGTAAAGACCAGGGATATATGTTGGTCTTATCAAAAAATACCGTTAATAGCTTATTAAACATACATTATGCAAGAGCTAAATCTGTCTATTGCAGGTCTTTCTTTAGGCCTGAAATGTTATCTTAATTATTAATTAGACATTAATTAACTTCTCCAGACCATAGTTAACTCTCGAGGGCATCGCTAGCCTGCAATGTTTATTGGATTAGGTTCCGATTTCCTGTTTGACTTCCATTCATAATTTAATCATTAAATGGATAATCGAGACTATGTTTTTTATCCTATCGACTTAAGTAATGATGAGCGAGGCTAGGCCAAAAATCTTGGTTCAGAGTGGATCAATTTGACTGAAATTTTCAGCAAATTCCCTTTACATTATCTAGTTTTTAACTATTATAGTGATAACTGCCAGCTCTTTATCTAATCTCCCATAATGTATCTTTAAGACAAAAGATTTATCTGGTGGAGAGATTAATGGAGTCAAACATTAAGGGAATTTACATACTTTAATAAAGTAAGACTACTGTCATAGTCTTGTACTGTATCAGTATTTGTACAAGAAAAACTGCTGTTATTAAAGGGTTTCACATACTATTGTAGTTCTTGTAAAAAAATGTGTCGAATTAGGTCAGGATATTTTGACACATATTTTGAGTGTCAGTTTTATGTAAAAATGTAAAATTGATTATCATTTATATATTAAACTGGTATTCATTGTGTTGTGATGCGAGTATTAGTAGGTGTCATCCACGAAGGTCAGGAATTTACTTGTTTTAAGTACCTGATAACACTTCTTTTACAGTTGTACTTTCATCTGCTCCTTCAGGAGGGGTTGGATGACCGAATGGTTAGCATGTGCGCGCTATATCATAATGTTTATCATTGAGTCAACTGGTGTGGTTTCGATTCCCCGATTGTACGTGACAAGGAGTAGGGTCACCTATCCAACCTCATGGGTTTTTTCCGGATTCTCCGGTTTCCTCCCACTGCTAAAGACCCCTGCATGCAAGCGAATTATAGAAATAAAAAATCAACCATGTGTTAGTCCCAAAATGACCTAATTTGTGTCGAGTGGATGTTAAACCCCATTTCTCTCTCTCTCTCTCTCTCTCTCTTTGCTTCTTCAGTCTATCCATCATCCGTCAGTCTATCCATCATCCATAAGAAATGATACCATTTCTTTTAATATAATTTCACAGTTGTACTTTTGTCTGCCCCTTCAGTCTATCCATCATCCTTCAGTCTATCCATCATCCATAAGAAATGATACCACTTCTTTTAATATAATTTCAGTTGTACTTTTGTCTGCCCCTTCAGTCTATCCATCATCCACAATTTCTTGTGAACAGTTTACAGACTACATTTCAGTCATCCTGGCTCTTTATGTGTAACATTAGGGAGACTAATGAATACAGATTCCCTATTTGCAGTCAATGGAAGCTGTGGCCCGAACTTAAATCAATGCTAACCATTGTAATGCGAGTATATTTTGATTTTGTACAATGTTATGTTCACCAAGATCAGTGTTTTGACTCTCATGTTACATGTAAAACTACAGACAATAGTGATGAAGGAAGGATGAAGATGTTTTAGATGAAGAATAACCATCAACATAATATATACACCTGTTCTTCAGTAGAAGTATAATATAAGATATATGGTATATAGTCTACCTGTAGACTGTCTTCAACTAAACTCTATTGTTACAAATCTAAAATAGCCTACTGTGTGTAATCAGTGTACAAGTTTATATTAGCTTATTACTCGTTACACCAGACTCCAAAAATTCTAAACATATTTTACCAACAAAATCCTGCAGCAACATAATACGAGACATGTATACACATCAATCTTTCCGGAAATACTCCTGACATCCATATGGCCGCAATCCCCTCCATAAACTGATATCACAGGCGTTTTGTAGGCTTTTCTCAAATTTAAGCTCGATGTTTTATCTCGTCAAGATAAGCATTTGGAATATATTATGTATACATGTTGTTAGGTAAGAGATAGGTAACACATAAATTACCGTGCATCTGACATACACAACCTGCAGCCTCCACTACAAAAAATACGACTGGCACCTTTAAGATAAGACAATCTCTCTTATATAAATCTTAAACCCAATAATAAAAATTTTAAAAAGATGGTCTCTACAGATTCTAATGATCTGATTTCTTTTATTTTTTGGGTTGAAAGTTTTTTGTTTTGTTAAAAATCTAAAAGTGTAAATGATTTGATGTTGATGTAGGGGGCAGGAGGATGTCTTTGATGTTCTGCCATGTTGACAAAAAACAGTCTTTTTTCTTGTCACTCCCAACCCTGATTGATTAAAGAAAATAAACACTGAGACGTTTTTACACATGGGTCAGAAATCAAAGCGTTTTAATTTTAAAATGTGGGTTGTGCTTGAATTCCAGAAAAGTGTGCAATATGATAAATAGGGAGAGAGTGTATTAATTCATAATATACCATCATAATATACGAGGATTTACGACTTGGAAAAAGTGCATTTATAAATAAACATTTTGTATATATATCATTTAAATACAGAATAATTATGTTTGTATACACATGAATTGAGTATATTTATCACAAGATTTATGTGAAATGAAATGAAATGGGGGTTTAACGTCCTACTGTTCTGCTCTGACTGGGCTAATGAAAATGGGGAATATTTATGTAAAGATAACATTTTTGCAACATTTACATGTGGATTTAAATCCCCTTTTAATGATCTAGTTGTCTATGACAGGTGTTGTGCAGGAGCAGGGTATTCATACTTCTCGTAGAACACCTGATGCAGGCCCATAACTAGAGTGTGTGTGTGGGGGGTGGGGGGGCTCTCCCTGTGAAAAAATAGTTGATCATAAAAACAATAGATATACATTGTCCGTCAGTTTTACAGCGCCCCTGAGAACACCGGGTGACAACTTCATTTTTGGCGAGCATTTCTTACTTGGAATGGAATGAGACTTCATCTTAACACGAGTAGTTGGATGGCGAATGGTTAGCACGTGCTCACTGTATCATAAGGTCTGTCATTGAGTCAAGTGGCGTGGTGTCGATTCCCCGGTTGTACGTGACAAGGAGTAGGGTCGCCTGTCCCACCTCGGGTATTTTCTACGTGTCCTCCAGTTTCCTCCCACTGCTAAAGACCCCTACGCGCAAGCGAATTATTGAAATAAAATTAAACCATATGTTAGTCCCGAAATGACCTAGTTTGTGTCGAGTGGACGTTAAACCCCATTTCTCTCTCTCTTTTCTGGGCCCAGGCAAGGATTCAAACCAGGAACATGTTTGTTTGAACCTAAGGGAGGAACTTGAGTTACATACTTTTTGGAACACTTTTGGTTGCACTTAAATGAACCAGTGACCATATTTGGCATTTCATACCATCTTCTTAACTAGTTTCACAATACTGATTCCTGGAAGTTGGATGTATATTTTATTATGTCTGCTGCATGTGATATTGTTTAGATACATGCATTAAGGTGTGGTCAGACATGTTTCAAATTGTTGAATTCAAAGAATTGGAAGCATTGATGTAAATATACAATGCATGAATCATGTGCTACAATGACAATATGGCCGCCATTAAGATTTCAACTGAAGCTATGGCTGTTGATGCATATGGTGTTTGAACTTTACAGTTTGACGGGAAGATTCAATTAGATTCCGTACACCTTGCAACCATCCCATCCTTATCCATTAGACAGTTTCTACCCAACAAATTCAATCCATATGTATTGACATTCTGACATTTTTCTAGGCTTTTTCTTCAATTAATCTAACATGAACATAGAAAAATAATGTCATTATTGGGAGGATTGTCATTTGTAAGTTGGATAGATTGGTTTAATCGCGTATCAAGTTATAAATAAAACATCTTGGGTGTTTCTAACACTGATAACCTTTCACGGTACCTACATCAAATAGTACTAACATGATACTATCTTATAAAAACAATTGTTAGATCATCCACACTTAGATGTTGCTTTCAGGGGCTACTTTGTGGATCTTGTGAGCCAACGAAATAACACAGATAAACAGTATGATATTGGTTTCCTGAAAACGATTTTCTTGATCATGGAATGTAGATTTCTTGAGCTTGATGTGTTTTCTGTGGATACATCTATACATCCTTATTTTGAAGCGATTATGATATCCTCCTCCAAATGTACTGAGTTCTATTTGTGAGGTTTATTAATAAACTATTGTCAACATTGGTTTCCTGGAAACAATTTTCTTGATCATGAAATGTAGATTTCTTGAGCTTGATGTGTTTTCTGTGGATACATCCTTATTTTGAAACGATTATGATATCGTCCTCCAAATGTACTGAGTTCTATTTGTGAGGTTTATTAATAAACTGTTGTCAACATTGGTTTCCTGGAAACAATTTTCTTGATCATGAAATGTAGATTTCTTGAGCTTGATGTGTTTTCTGTGGATACATCCTTATTTTGAAATGATTATGATATTGTCCCCCAATTGTCTTCAGTTCTTGCTTTGATGTCTATTAGTAAACTATTGCCAATATTTTAACCCCTTAATATTGCCTTCATAGTTCACAAAATTTCGATAAGATAATAAAACAAAAGACAAATTCTTGATCATGAATGTGGCCCTGTTCCATTACATGAGTACAGCAACAATTTTGTAGCTATATGAATTCCAGAAATAAAAAAAAGTGGTGTCGCATTGATTTACTTCCCTTGAATTGAGTTACTTCAGCATTTCTGGATAACAGTGATTAGTGTCTGGAAAAACTACTTTTAGAGCACAGGAAGTAGTCACAACAATCCAGGCTGCTGACTTGATCTGTTTTTAATTAAATGGTGTCATAATTATTTGTCAGAGCTATTGATATGTATTTCAACAAGATTTAATTGGTATATATTTTTATATTTTCAGAAAAAGGCCATATACAAATCGATGTGGGTCTACGCAATACTACAAAATACCTCGGACAGACCGTACGGTTGAATTGTGAGATTACAGGATCTCCGATACCACAGTATTCTTGGTATAAAAATAGTGCAGAAATCAATGAGCAAGTTGATACAAGATACAGTGTTAAACCCACAGACTGGGGATCAAGGTAAAACAAAAATTGGTTTATTTTATCAGAGAGAGAGAGAGAGAGAGATGGGGGGTTTAAGGTCCTCTCAACATAGACATATAAGGTCCTCTCAACATAAACATATAACGTCCAATCAACACAAGCTTAATATGATACAAAATAAAATGAAATGAAATAAAATGGGGTTTAACGTCCTACTGTTCTGCTCCGACTGTGGGCTAATGAAGACGGGCATATGCCATACAGTGTGCTATGGCCTACTCTTCAAATTCCAATTGCCAAGGGATCTTTTATGTGTACGCCAATGTATACACAGGGCCTTGGTTTTACATCCCATCCGAACAACTAGACCATAATATGATACAGTTTTATATGAAAAATTCACTTTCAAATAGAGGTCTTTTGCAGTGGGAGGAAACCAGAGTATCAGGAGAAAACCCACAAGGTTAGGCAGGCGACAAATGATTAAAAAAATATATATACAAACTGCATTGATCATCGATCTTGATGTTTTGACAGAAGAAAAAAAAAATGTCTTTTCTGTCAAATGTCCATTAGCTATCTGAACTTGTGGTTATCTGCAATGAAATTTTGTGTCAAATTTAATTCCAACAAATGCCCTGGTTGTGGGTAATACCTATTTATTACATCATATCGCATGTTTGAAATACTAACAAAATAGTATCAGATATGTTTCATTTTCCCAAATAACCCTGAAAATTGCTGATGAATTTTCGTCTGTCCACCTTCCAAGAACTTAACAGACAAGTGTAGCAATTCATCGTAAACTTTTGGTTAAGACGAGCAGGTGTAAAAAATAAACAAATGTATATAACTTTATAGTAAGTGATGTAATACAATGCTGGAATTTATTTATATGACATGGTGGATTTATTGTGGCACTAATTGGGAACGAGTCTCTGGTTAAAGGTAAACAGCCTTCCAGCGCAAAAAGTTTTATCAGAAAAAAGAATTAAATTGTTTACATGTATCTCCAGTTTATACAACCGTGTTTAAATTTTTAAATTACAAAACTAGACAGAAAAAATATTTTGTAGGATATCATGGACGAAACTGTTTATTTTGTTATCTCTTTTAAGAAAATTAAATGTCCAAATAACATTTCGCATTTCTCTTCCAATTATTTGAATACAATGAAAAACGTATTCTGTTTAACTACAGTAAATAAAAAGTTTTCTTAATTGTCTTACCTAGATAATAAATTTCAGTTACTTGTTGAAAGAAAGAATTAGATTATTTTTTTTTCCCACACTGCGTTAGGTAACCAAAAGAAATTTGTTACAGTTGCACACGTCAGGCATATTTAATTCTTAATGTTCTTAATGTCAATTAAACATCTGCAATCATAATCTAAATTGTTTGTAAATTTTTAAATTCTTGGGGAGTCTGTCACAAGGTTCTAATTTTATTAAAAGATAGGTTGTGTTACATCCAAAATGTTACACAAAAGTGGGTTGTACAAGGTTCACCGCTTTGTCTTATATTGTTTGTATTAACTGCATGCAACCAGCACAATTACATCAGGAAATAGGAACCTAAACATTTGTATTTTATGAATTTTATCAGAGGGAAATGCTGTGTTACATTCTAAATGTTATAGAAAATTTGGTATATAAAAGTGGGTGGTACGATGTGAAAATATCGGTCTAATTTATATACTAATAGATAAGGGAATAATAAAAAGGGCAGGTTTTGTTTGTTATCTTTAAGTTGTGTTTGGAGATATTGTACAGATTGTGTGCCACTAACACTAAACAGTCCCCTACTTGAAGATGATATACAGGAAGGGTGCTACGCGTGATGCAGCCTGATGAAACCCTTTTTTGTCTGAATCTGTAAAGAGCATGAAGTGGAATTTTTGCTTTCAAGATTTACAGCTTCTTTTTGTAACCTTTCACTTTTTGTAGAGATTGTGAGAAAGGGGAAGAGTTTGTCATAACAATACAGACATATAGTTCATGATAGCTAGAATACGAGAAATTGATTTACTTCTAGAAGTTCTTCTACTTCTAAACCAGTTTGTCTTACCTGCGTATTAATCAAATAAATGAAATGAAATGTAATGGGGTTTAGCGTCCTTTTATTTATCAAATATTGAATACATTTAATATAAGATTTATAAAATCAAACATATTTTTCACTGATATTTGAAATAAAATATTTATTGATGGACACCCATTAATATTTAGGATTCGTTTTGTGTTGTGGAATGAAAAAATTATCATTTAGAACTCATTTGTCTTTTCTGTATATTAAACAAATAATGAAAACATTTATCATGGAATTTTATAACAATCAAATATATTTCATTAATATTCAGATATTAATGAGGTACAACCAATTATTTGAAATAAAGTATTAATTTATGGACATCCTTTAATATTAAAAATTAGTTGTATGGATTATAAACTGATAGAATTATCATTAAATACTAAAATGAATAACTAGATTTATTTTGTAAATTTACTAAAATAAGACACACTTAAACAGAAATTGAGCATGATAAAAAGAAATACTTATGGAGTGACTAACTTGGAAAAGAAATAAAATTTGGATGCATTTTCAGTTTGTATAAAAACCCAAATGAATAATTCAATTCTTTTTTTTTTTTCTTCTTTTTTTTTGACATTTACTAAAATAAGACATTTTAAAACACAAATTGAGTTACAATATTTACCACATGATTATCTCATAAAAATGTGTGTGTTTAATGTAAAAGGTTGAATGACTTAAACTTTAGATAAAGTCAAGTGTGATAAACTCGGCCTTACATTCAACTTTTCGAAAAATGGAAAAAATTCCTTTGAAGCTGTATTCCTCGTTTGTAATATATGTATATTATATCTTATTTTTAAAAAAAACTAAATAGTTATGTGTATTAGAACTGTATTTTTCATTAAAAAATTTCATTGGTCCCAGGGGTACATTATTTCTGCAAATCTACAGACAATTTTATTATGTTGGGTGTCTGATACATATAATGTTTTTTCACAAGTCGAAATGATTAATTTTTAGGTGATAACTTTTGAACATTTTATCTGTATTTTAAACTTATATCAGACTTAACAGTATCTGTCAGGATGATAAACTTGACTGTTCCCAAACTAAACTGTCTTAAAATGTGAAAAAATCCTGCCTGATTTTAATCTGACCAAATTTATAGGAGAGATGAAACTAAGGCGTTTTTATAACGCTGGGTGCATTATGTGGTACTAACTAACAAGGCTTTAAATATCAACAAAGAAAATTTTGTCCTTAATTGCCATTAACAAGAATTTAAGAATATTAAAAGGAATAAATTTTAATATACACATCAGATTGAGACAGCTTAACGATGTTGTACCGAACATCTTATTGCGTTATTTTTTACAAGTCGGTTCGGATACGATTATATAATAGGACAGCTGCTGACTTTTAATAGGCAATTTTCTTATCAAAGATTTTAAATTAAGATGGGTCTGGCAACTGGCTTCCAAAATTTTCCTTTTATTTATCTCCAATTATGTAGTAATGTTGCCGTATTCCACGGTAATAATTCACAGTTATGACATGATTAGTGTTTAAAAAAGATAAGTAATTATCGAAAACTCCATTTTATGTGTATGAAAATCTGTTTTATAACTAAAATACATACTGTCATTTATTTTTACTGTTGTTATTTATAGTGGGCAAAACATGGATGTTGGCATTCACAAAACAGGTACAGAACCATAGAAATGGCACACGTGTCTTGATGGATTTGGTTTTTACTGTGTTTCGTGTACTTGAATTGTTATAATTTAATTAGAAACCATTTAGAAAATATGTTCCGTTATATTTTATACCTCTGATTTTTTTTCTTCTACCCAAATTGCATATATGAGAAAAAAGGTTAATAAAAACCGTAATTCTTTTTTTTTTCCGGCTACTTCAAACGATTTGTTTTATTTTAACGATCACAGGATGTGCATAAATTTTATAGAGCTAATTTCTCAGAACTCTTCAAAACAGAATTGAATTTGTTTGGTAAGCAAAAAGTTATGTTCAATGCATAAACTGATGGAAATGTATTATTTGGTACATGATTCTGATGACAACCAGGATTATTGAACTTTTGAAAATCAGTCGGATTTATTGTTTTTAACTAATATATTGTTCTGAGCTGTGCTTGATTCTGATAACAACAACTAGAATTATGGCACTTTTGAAAATCCATTTTTGAACATCTAAAAAGAACAGCAATTATTATTATTTTTTTTTTCACTTACAGTAGATGGAAATGACAAAAGGTTCTGTAATTGGTTCAGTTAAGAATGTAATCGAAGTTTCCTATTAGATTATTTTAGAAACCAGATGCCGTGTTTTAATGTTGCATAAATTCCATCGATTTACAAAACAGGTTTTTCTCATATATATTTTATTTTTACCCCTTTGGTATTTGTACCAAGACGAATTCGGGTTGTAAAGCAGGTTTTTTAGCTGGAAGTCAGGTGGGAATCTAAGTCCAATCTAAACAAAATGGTGGATATTGGTGAAATCGTTGCTATGGTGTATAAATGGTGATGAAAAGGGACTTGTAACTAACAGGATGTTATTCCACCTGCCCTGTGTTCACCTCTAATTAAGCTTGGGTGTGTCCCGTCCGTCTGCTACTAACACAGACATCAAACAGTCTACTTTTATCCAATAAAACGATATTTTGACCCTTATTTTACTCGTTATATAAAAAGATTAGATAAAAATCATGAAATAAAAATTCTATCAAAAAACAAATTGGCCACCATCATGTAAAACATGGCTTTGTTCTTTTTGATATTTCTTCTCTTTTAATCGCCTGGTAAACATCTTTTGTCGCAATGAAATAAAAATACAAAAGTAAAAATAGATATCTCAAAATAAACTTAATTTATTTAACACTCTAGAAAACAATCTCTGCCTTTAACTGCAGGGATGGGGAGGGTGAGTTTCCTTTCTCATCCTCCAATTCAAACCTTTAGCATGACTGGGTCTTCTAAAAAGGTTTTGACTCTTCTAAAAAAGTTTTGACTCTTCTAAAAAAGTTTTGACTCTTTGGGTTGTACCTTTCTATAAACTGTTTAAAATTAGTTGTTCATTTTGGGGCACATTAAAATCTCTTTCACAGATTTCAATTCTGTGGAACACAATTGTTCATTTATGAGCGACGTTTCAACAAGAATTATCTTGTCTTTATATTTTTATTTTATTAATTATTTGAAATTAATTGTCCTTTCAATGGCATTTTAAAAGCTGTTTAAAATAAGAACATGTAATTGTGGATTCAAAAGTTCTATCTTTAACATATATATAGCTCTTCATTAGGCGGGGGTTGGATGGCCGAATGGTTAGCGCTTGCACATTGTATCATAAGGTCTGTCATCGAGTCAACTGGCATGGTTTTGATTCCCCAGTTGTAAGTGACAAGGAGTAGGTTCGCCTGTCCAACCTCATTGGTTTTCTCTGTGTCCTCCGGTTTCCTCCCACTGTTAAAGACCCCTACGCACAAGCAAATTATAGAATTATAATTGAACCATATTTTAGTCCCAAAATGACCTAATTTGTGTTGATTGGACTTAAACCCCATTTCTCTCTCTCTCTCTCTCTCTCTCTCTCTCTCTCATTAGGAAAATATGCTGATGAAGAAGACATGATAATTATGTCAAAATATTTAAAAGCCCGTTCAGACGCTTCAGTTGAACTGGTTTAAAAAAAACAGGGATGGTTTATAAATAAATGGTTGCAAAATTTAGTCAGACTCCATTATTTAATTTTTCGTATGCTATATTTTCAGATTACGGATAGTAAATTTAGAGCCAGGTGACAAAGGATTATATTCTTGTAAAGCACAGAATAGTTTTGGTTCTAAGGAAACCAGCAGTTATTTAATTATTAAAAATGGTAAGATAATAAGAAAGTCATCTACGTATCCGTATGATTATCATAAAATTATCACCATCGGGCATGATCCATTACTGTTAATATACCTTCTAATTAACAACAAACCACGATCTAAAATTGCGGAGATCCATTAAGATCATTAACAGATTGGATAAAAATACATTATTTACAATAAAGATTATTACTGAGCTTGGGGGAAATCCTTTACTGGTGTACGGTGCCATTGGTTTTCTGATTTATTCACAGAAACAGTAAATTTCAATCACAGAATCAATCTGTTAGCTTCTACACGAAATCAAATTCAATCTGACTGAAACAACGGAATCAAATTCAATCTGATTAAAACATAGATCCTATTTCGTTACGTTTTTTATATTTCAAAATTTTGTTTTGTTTGTCTGTACTACACTAGGATCTGGAAGAGGTTTTATATAACCTGTGTTCTGGATAGTGGGAGGGATTAGCCAATGAAACCATCTGTTATGGCAATTTCTTGGAGTGCAATGCACGGAACTGTGGGTAAACCACTAGAAACGTCAACACTGATTGATTAATCAATGTCTGACGTCATAGGGTCAAAAGCCGTTTGTAAACCTCTGACGCGACCGTTTACTACAACTGGTCCGATCTTCATGTAGTGTCGGCCGTCGAAAATATAAATAAACAAAACAAAATATAGACCTGTATTTAATCAGATTGAATCAAATTTAAACCATGTTACTTCATTTTTCTCTTTCCCTTGTACCAGTATTATAACTGATGAGATATGATCTATAGGTTAACAATTCTTTTATTATTATCTTTCAGAATATCCACCACCACCCAAAAAGACACCAGATTCTGGTCGTAATAATAATAATAATAATGGTAAAGATGGTAGTGATATAGACTATGATATAAAATCTATTTTGCCAGGTGGTGATGGTGCTAATGGAGGGTACGTTTAGCATTGTTATTACAATATTTAATTGATGTTTAATTCTCGCATATCGGAATTCTTTTTGAAAGAATTTGAAAACATGGGACATGTATCATTCATGAGAGGGTGGATTTTGAAAAAGCATAAAATAAATGAATATTTATATATACCAGTACTACCGATATGAAATGGGGTTTAACATCCACTCAACACAAACTAGGTCATTTCGGGACTAACATATGGTTCAATTTTATTTCAATAATTTGCTTGCGCGTACGGGTCTTTAGCAGTGGGAGGAAACCAGAGGACCCGTAGAGAACCCACGAGGTTGGACAGGCGACCCTACTCCTTGTCATGTACACCGGGACATCAAAACCATGGCAGTTGACTCAGTGACAGACTTTATGATACAGTGCTCATGTGCTAACCATTTGCCCCCCCCTCCAACTGGGTTCGAACCTGAGACCTGGTTAGTGATTTTGTGCCATGTTCACTGTTGTTCCTACACATGATGATACAAAGGCTCAAGAAAGTTTTTTTCAGGCCTATGAACGATAAAGTTAGCTATCTGTGTTTAAAACATGAATAGTCAATGTTCTGAGCAACGGAGACCACCTTCGTTGATATACATGATTATACTCGTGTAAATAATTCATGTCATATTTAGATTACTTGCTGAAATTCCGATAAACTGGTATCAAAAACATATAGCAGTCCATGACAAAGTGATATGCTTTTTCACGAAAATCAGAACATTTTAAATTAATTGCCACTCCAGACAGGAACATTAATTAATGAAATCAACACAAAAAAAGATAAAGTTGAAATCTTATTGGTTGATACAATCGGCCATCTTATTAATTGTTGATAACTAAATGTCTGAAGTGGAAGGAAGTTTAGACATAATAAATACGTTTCATGAATGTTTAGTAAACTGTGATTTTACGGAATTACTTTTGACTTGAAAACTGCAGGTTTGCGATAAGAAATTACATGTTAAAATTTCCACTGAAATATCTGTTTTAAGCAGGTGGTGTGCGTCTTAAGTGTATTAATTTCTCTTTCGACTTGAAACTCGGAGAAGTGTGTTTAAGAGCTTGAAGGCATGCCTAGAAAAAATAACCCACCTATTGGCTTGTTATTGACAATAGGATAAGAAAAGTATAGCATTTCGCACATTTAAAGAAACTCGGTAAACCCTCAAACAACGAGCAACTTGTATAATAATTCTAAAATAACATGTTCGGTATTGTCATCTAAATCATCACTTGATTAGACAAACATCATCGGTACATCACTTAAATATTGTAAACTAATTCCTAGGGTGGGGCAGCCCTGGGGCCACCATCTTCCTTTCTCTCCTCAAACGATGTAAATGTTCGTGTAGATATTGGAAGCTCCCGAGTCGAAGGTTAAGACAAAAATTTGACTTTGACAGAATGGGGTGTGGATGTGTAAACATTTTGACAGTCAGTTTTTGCTAAAACTAACTTCAGAACCATGTCATCGGAGAGTGAAAAGATCAAATTTATGAAAGGAAATACCTCGATTTGTAGGTATCTGAATGAAAGGTATTATATTACTGTGTATTTTGTTTATTATCCAATATAATATAGGTAGGAGATTGTTACCGTGACAACTACACTGTCTCAATATCCATAGATCTGTCTGATGTAATCATAATATCTCGACATTTATTACAATGATATCGCAATTTTCTGTTAGATTTACTGTAACCCAAACGTTTCTGTTTTCTTCTGGACCACCTGGGATTTAAAACTCTTTTATTTTAGTTTCTTCTTTTGACCATTAAAATAATCTTGGAGTATATCAAATGACACATGAATATATCATTTTTAGGAGGTTTACCAAGACTTAAAATGGGTGTTGGTTGCCAGTCAGTTGGGCGTGATGCATAAAATAAAGTTTAATTCAGCCCCAATTGCAATAAATTTTGATTCTCTGTTTCCTATCAAATTTATTTGGGGAAATGTTTTATTTAATGAGTCAATGACTTTTACATGTTTATCAAAACACTGGTGAAGCTACAGTCTAATTTGAGGCCTTTAATTTTGTTTAAAAACATTTATATGCTATCCAGATGAAGACACTGATAGGAAGTTGGCAAAATGATGTTTTTAAATAAAAAATGAATTGCATTTTCTTATTCAGAATTTGTAAACCTTTTGTTATCATGGCTACTGGTAGAGATTTAAAAAAAATGGCCTTTTACTCTGAATAAATAGTCATGTTTATTTTATAGTAAAATATAAAGAAAAAAACCCAACCTCTTGTTGAATGGGCTTGTATATAAAGTTAAGACCTTACTTTTATTGTTGTTTAAAAATAAACATAAATTCACTTCTTTTATTAAGAAAATGTCTCGGTGATCAGTCATGGTGTTTAAGCAGGTTTAGAAGTCAAGATCAGTAGGTCACAGTACCATATAATAACAACTAACAGCGTATTAAACTACTGACACATAATATTAATATTCAAAATAATTTAGCTTCTAAGTCTTGGCTTTAAAAAAAGAGGTCATAAACCACTGTGAAAATTAAAGATTTAATTTCCTGATATGGTAATGAAGGCTTGAGTTACATTTTGTCATTTTTCATATGGAGTTCCATTGAAATCCAAACCAGTAATTGTGACGACAAATTCAACTGAAGTCCATATTAAACATAGTCGGAAAACAGTGGGAAACTGATGAATGAATATTAATGAATTTTTTATCCAAGTGTGTGGTAAAATTACATCAAATTCACACTGAAGTTATAGGGTAAAAATGACTTGTTCACAAAAAGGCATTATTCATTTTGTACCAAGTGACAGGAATTTTATAATGAGAGATTGGAGTTCTGGTATGTTATTAAAACAGCACCAGACTCCAGGCCATTATATCACATTATAATAAATTGATATCTTAATTAATTTTTTGATTTCTACTATTTTCAGATTTAATGGGAAATACAACACAGACCTGTTCCCTAATCCAGAGTAAGTCTGCTTCTTAATTGTTTCACTCATTCATTCATTAATTAATAGTTACGTTCGTTTGTTCCTGGGGTTTTACCTCCACTTCCGGGGGGTTGGATGGCCGAATGGTTAGCGCATGTGCGCTTTATCATAAGGCCTGTCATTGAGTCAACTGACGTGGTTTCGAATAACGGTTGTACGTGACAAAGAGTGGGGTTGCCTGTCCAACCTCGTGGGTTTTATCCGAGTCCTCCAGTTTCCTCCCACAGCTAAAGACCCCTACGCACAAGCGAATTATTGAAATAAAATTAAACCATATGTTAGTCCCGAAACGACCTAGTTTGTGTCGAGTAGACGTTAAGCTCCATTTCTCTCTCTCTCTCTCACATCCACTTCCACAAAGGGTGATATCGTAGACAGAATTAATAGTTAAAAATTTTCATTAATTAGTAGTTAGAAATTTTAAAAGTATTTGAGGGGCGGAGGATCTTTGAATTAAAGAGTAAACTGACAATATGATTGGTTTGTTAGAATTATCATCACAAGATTAAAAGGTTGACAGAAGTCACCAACAGTAATTTAAATTGGACTTCCTCCGAATATTGATAGGAAATTAAATATCACAAACTCCAATCAAAATGCTTAGATTACGATAATGTAACTAGAACTCTTATTCAAATAATTATTGGCGGAGTTCATCAAAAGCAATCTAAATTTCATGTTTTTGGTTTTTTATTTCCGATGGCCTTCAGTTAATCTGAAGAAAAATTAAATTTGAACTTTAAAAAAATGAAATAGGATCTATATTTTAATCTGATTGTACAAAGAGAATCAGTTATCTATTTCTGCGTCTGCAATTTTTAATACGAAACTAAATATTACATACCCCAATAAAAAATGACTCAGATGATAATTACGGGTATGTAATACCCAACTGAATGCTCAAATATATAAGCAGAATTATATTGTGAATAAGGTTTTGCATGATAATGATCAGATAATGTCAACAAATTTTATTATGATACAAAATATTACATAATTCTCATTTGAATAATTATAAACAATTCTATTGAGAGTAAGTTTTTGTCAGATGATTAATGAATAGTCGACAATTAAACATTCATGTCTGTCATAGCTTTCGTTTTTAATTATATGTATGACATGTCACGATCCTGTAGTGTATATCTTATATACGGGTACTTGTGTTTCTTCTGTCTAAAAATTCTGTCATAATTCTTTTCATGGCTTGATGACTGACTGCATATTATAAGTGCAAATACCAGAAAATTTACTCAATGAAGCGCAGATTTTGTCAAGGTATTCTTTTACATGCCTAGAGATCTTCCTTCATACCAGGATAAAAGAAAAACAAATCTTGAAATGATTACGAAACTGGCAGAAAATTCAAAACACAACATCCACAAAAACGTGGCGCTCGCTAAATTTGGAGGGTTAATGTTGTGGAGTTTATAATTAAATCACAGTGAAGACAAGGGAGTTTTTTGTACCAGAGATTTTTTCACTACATTTAATCAGAGTTAACTGTAAATTTATGACAGATAGCTTGTCACATTAGCATCAGGAACCCATCACTTAACTTTTTTAATTTTATTTATTTTAAAAACGGGTGGGATTCATAGGGTTGTGGAGGGAAAAAAGGGAGAAATGTGTATTACACTTATGACATATCATTAAAAGTATTTTTGAGAACCATGTATCGTAGTTACTAGACGAATGACAGTCATACCTAGTCGTTGCTTTCCCCTAGGACAGAGAGAAAAATGGGGTTTAATGTCCCCTCGACACAAACTAGGTCATTTCGGGACTAACATATGGTTCAATTTTATTTCAATAATTGGTTTGCGCGTAGGGGTCTTTAGCAGAGGGAGGATACTGGAGGACCCAGAGAAAACCCACGAGGTTGGACAGGCGACCCTACTCCTTGTCACATACAACTGGAATCGAAACCACACCAGTTGACTCCCTTTCCTGTAGGTGAATCTGCAGGTGTTTCAAAGACAGGTCCTTTCTGTAAATTACTCGTTAATTAAATTCATTTGAAAATAAATAATTCCCCATTTCTGAAGTGATAAAAAAACAAAACAAGAAGGTCTCCAAAATGAAAAAAAAATGTGACCCATATCGGAAATTCTCATCAGATTGTTGATAAAGTTGATAAAAATGTGTTAATTTGAAGCAACTGATCTCTGAATTTCTTTTACACAATATGATTATTGTAACTATAACATTACATGAACAGATAATCTGCTTCTCATGTATGTGTTTATTTGCTTTCTGTATTTTCACCGTGTTGTCTACTATCAAACATGTGCACAGACATGTATTTTTGGTTCAACTCAGGTTTTGATCTGGCGATAAATTCCACGAGTTAACAAGATTCAGATACCCAAATGTATCCACTATCCCAGCTAATTATCATACCAAATTACGTGATTCAGTCATATTACGCGTCCACAGATAGCCATAATTTGAAGTTTGACTTTTAGTTTCCCAGTTAACTTTTAGGAAGTTTTTTTGATGTTTAAACACGTTGTTTTGATTGGTAACAGATTTGTACAAACCTTCCATTGTACGAAACAAATTAGGACTTGCTATAAATTGACTAACAATGTTGTTTCTTGTCAGATTGTTTATTTATCTTCTGGTTTTCTTTCATTGTAAAAAATAAAAAGCCAATTACCTTTAGTCGTCCTTATTTCATCGTTGTTATAAATCAGTCGGAACAACCAACATATTAGTAGATATATATATCACTTTGTACTTAGGATCGGTTTGAAGGTTTATTGAGGGAAATTATCAAATGGAGATGGTAAGCACAATCTTCTCCCCAAAGATTTTTTTTATAAATACAGAAAAAGAGAGATGGATTTTATATTTTAGAGTAATTATTTTTGGGAGAGCCCCATTTTACCAAATCTGTTCCCCAAAGATTTTTTTTTATATACAGAAAAAAAGACGTGGATTTTATATTTTAGAGTATTTATTTTGGGAGAGCCACATTTTACCAAATCTGTTCCCCAAAGATTTTTTTTTATATATAGAAAAAAAAGAGATGGATTTATATCTTAGAGTATTTATTTTGGGGCAGCACCATTTTACCAAATCTGTTCCCCAAAGATTTTTTTTGTATTTACAGAAAAAAAAAGAGATAGATTTATATTATAGGGTCTTTATTTTTGGGAATCCCCCGTTTTACCAAATCTGTTGTAAACTGGGTTTTGTATTTTGGAGAAATATCTTTTATTATGATTTTAGAATAAAGTTTCTGATAAATAAAGATTGCTTGATTTTTACTTATGTACAGCACAAGCAAAATTGCATGTTGGAAAGCAGCTAGCACGGACACTAGTTACAATGTATTCACATGTCAAAGACATTTATTCATTGACATATCTTTTTGACTATTTACATATTCCGATGGTAGTTTTTTTTATTTAGATCTATCAGCCTCTATTATATACTATAATTTACAGTGTTTTTGTACTATTTTATATTCTAACATTAAAAACCCAAGTAGATCTGTCCAGCATATAAAGCAAAAAATAGATAAATACTGCATATAAAACACATTATAGTTCTAAGTAATTCCTTTGGGATTTTTTTATCGTTTTCTAAACGATTATTATGTCACATTTGATTGTAGAATCATTTTTTTTTTATTACAGGGAAGAAGAGTTAGATCAAGGCGATGGATTTTGTCAGGTCCATAGAGGAAGCACTTGTTCTAAATATGTTGGAAACATGAGTATATATGTGTCAACTAAATTCACACAAGGCCTTCGAGAAGAACGATTTATTGGTGAGTTGATATCGTACATTTAATTCATACAAGAAAAAATTAGCTTCAATTCTCACAAAATTGAGATAATATTCAGATCTGATATTTAAAAAAAAAAAAAACGGTAATGGCTACAGTATTCTTATTGAAGAAAGCATCTTTGAGACTATAATCTTTAAGTGTCATTTAGCGATCAGTAAACACATTAACGTAACACAGTTTTTATGGGATACAATCACTAGTTTTATTCTAAAAGCACGACGTTTCGACAAGTATCCTCTTATCGTTATCAAGCTTAGAATAAAACTAGTGATTGTAGCATGATGAACGATAAGAGGATACTTGTCGAAACATCATGCTTTTAGAATAAAACTAGTGATTGTATCCCATAAAAACTGTGTTCTGTTAATCTTTGAGAGTAAATCATCTGTGGTTGTTACTTGCTACAGATGGAATGATGGTAGTTTTAAAAGTCACCGGAAAAGCTTCTTGAATTTTTAAATAATGCGAGTAATTATGTCAACATATCCTTGTCATAAGTATAACACAATTCCGAAAGTCAGTATTACCTGCAATCTGGAAATTTTCAAAGTTAGTAATTTCCTACGTTCTCCGTGGGTAGTTGTACCTTTCCATCAATAAACAATCTGTGACGGAAATAACTAACGTTGAAGGTAAAATTGACATTCGGGTTTGTGTCATACATAATTACTTGCATTATTTAAAAAAAAGGTTGAACCTTTTCCAGTGACCTTTAACCCACATATATTGATATATACATAAATAAATAAAAATACGTCCAGGTAAAAAATCAACTACTTTACTTCATTATATATAATATCCAATGATCTAACTCTCAGGTAAAAATATAAGTAAAACTGAAGCATTTGAGAAAAAAAACAACATTTAAAATTCAATTTCTGGCTAGTACTTTCATTGTGTTAAAGCAAATCGTCAGGCCATAAATATATATTATATGTATACAAAAAATGCAGGTTGTCTGACTACAATATGACTGAAGAATTCTTCCCACAACTAAAATCTCACAAATGGATAACATTTAGGCAATCACTCTTTATCCATCAAAAAAAACCCCAACCCAACCAACAGATTTTTTTTTAAAAAGAAATTGCATGAAAGCACTGACATTAAAAAACTACTCTGTTTTCCTAACAATTTCACAACCTAACACAGCAGACACAGTGACTTCAAAGTAAAAAGAAATATTCTTTGTGGCATAATATCTAAATCTCTCCAGTATATAGTTCTAAGTCTAACTTAAGTTGAAGTACAAGAGAGTAATATTTTTGTGTCATCAACAACAATGATGCGACCGGTGGGACTATAGATATTGTAGAATATGTGACTGTATAAATACGGAGCGACGTGTTTGGTATTAGTTTACCAGTATTATAACCCAATGATCAACACATGCCCTGCATGATGTCATTAATACCCCTCCAGAGTCTTCGCCACACAAAAACTTACATATCATGTTGTGCCGTTTTTCCCCGTCGAATTGTTTTAGGTAGTGTATGAAACTGTCTGTATTTTCAACCTTGCGCGGTGTTTGGAATGTAATTCAGCCAACACTCACCAAAACTTTTTGGAAGCAGTTTTACATAAGCATTAAGTTGCTTGTTACTGTATCCAATCTATTCATATTTTTCCCTCTATTACTGTATATAAGAATTCTGAATAAATACTTTTTTAAATCAACTATGATTGATTCATTAAACCAGTTTTGATCTAAGACATTTAAATAAGACTCACAAAAACTTTGAAAGAAATAGCGGTGTTGACTTTGTCTTGGTTAAAATTTTCAAAATATCTTCCTGCAGGATAGAAATTTTGATTTCACTTGAACATTTTTCCATCTGGTCCATTTGACCTGAGAATAACCAGATATTTATTTTTCAAAGAATATGACAGTTTTCAACATTATTCCATTATTTTTATACCTTTTTTAAGTGCATATAAAAATTATATATTTAACTGTGTTTATCATCTTCTAAGTTATCCAGCCACTAGAGCCATAGTCACTGTCAGTCAAGTTATCCAGCCATGAGTGTCAGTCAATTTACCACAATGTGATTAAAACACAGATCTTATTTCGTTTCATTTTTTATAATTCAAAATTTCGTTTTATTTGTCTTTACTACACTAGGATCTGGAAGAGTTGTTATATAAGCTCTGGATGATGTGAGGGATTAGCCAATATAACGGTCTGTTACGGCGAGTTTTTGGCGTGCGGTGCACAGAACTGTGGGTAACCCACTAGAAACATCAAGGCTGATTGGTTAATCAAATGCCTGACATCATAGGGTCAAAAGTCACATGTATGACCTCTGACACAACCTTCTACTACAACTGGTCAGATCTTCATGTAGTAGAGGCCATTGAAAGTATAAACAAAATATAGATCTGTACTTTAATCAGATTGAATTTACCACTGCCAGTCAGTCAAGTTATCCAGCCACATGAGCCAGTCAATTTACCACTGCCAGTCGGTCAGGACAGGCGGATACAACTGAAACGACAGTTCTGGATGATACACAACATGTATTATTCCACTATTTTATTTGTTCTTCACTTGTAAGACATTCACGAAGAAGAATAAAGTTGTTTTGAATTTTTTACCCATTCATTGTTTTAAAATATCAAAAATTTTTCTATTTTAGCTGCCTTCGCTGTGATTGGTTCATCCAATCATTTGTCTACAGAGTGCCAAAGTTTTGCGATCCCTTCCCTGTGTTACCATGCCTTCCCTTTATGTGATGAAACCCGAGGCAAGCCACGTCCGAGACAGATCTGTAAAGATGAATGTGAAATGTTAGAAGATGATATTTGTAAAACAGAATATATCTTAGCTAAACGACATCCTCTTATTGGTAGGTTTCTTACTGATTGATATTATAGGGGTGGTGGAGGGGTGGGGGGTGGAGGGCCATATTTATACCCCAAAACATTTTCACATGTACCCTAAGTAGAACAAGTTTGTTGATTGGGGAGTATAACCTAGGAATTACTTTTAGTAGAGGGAGAGAGAGAGTGAGAAAAATTAGGTTTAGCATCCATTTGACACAAACTAGGCCATTTTGGGACTAACACAAGGTTCAATTTTATTTCAATAATTCGCTACCGTGTAGGGGTCTTTAGCAGGGGGACAAAACTGGAGGACCCAGAGAAAACCCATGAGGATGGACAGGCGACCCTACTCCTTGTCACGTAAAACCAGAGAATCGAAACCAAACCAGTTAACTCAATAACAGACCGTATGATACAACAGGCACATGCTAACCTACTTTTAGCAGACTTTTAGATAGGAGTTAATGTATAGCCCCCTCCATTAAGAAATCCTGCATATGTGTAGGGTCATTAATCCGAAGCAACAAATATACAGGTCACAGTTCAATGGAATACAATTACTGCTTATTACTGAGCAACGTTTCGACTAGGCTTCTCTAGTCATTATCAAGCTATGATAAAATATAAAATACAATATATACATTAAGAAACAACACTTGGTTAATGTTGGCCAGCATTGAATACTGTGTGGCGCCTTTATTTCAGAAATCCAGCATTAACTCTAATTTTATCTCTTTCTCTCTTTAAGAGTAAATATATTCAATATCAATCTTTATTAAATATATGTTTATATTTTGCAGGTAATCGGTTATTACCTGATTGTAGTAAATTAGCCGATCCAGGTACACCTGAAGGTGATAATTGTATCAGAATAGGAGTAGTAAATAAACGATTTAATAATAAAAATAGAAAAACTAATACAGGTAAGTTTATCACAATATTTATTATTTAAGGGATTCATGATATTGGGGTGAACTGACTAACTCACATTATAGTCACACTCTTTTTATATTCAAAATGAACTGAAATGGGGGTTTAATATCCTGGGCCCTTATTCACGAAAACTTAAACTAAGATAAAATCGAAATTTTAAGAAATACTGCAATTTGATTGGTTGACCAGTAAAATCAATTTGCATATATCCAATGAAGTTGCAGTATTTCTTAAAATTTCGATTTTATCTTAGTTTAAGTTTTCGTGAATAAGGGCCCTGATTTTTAGCACTTATAAAGGTAAGGAAGATGGGCATATGCCATTCAGTGTTCTGTCAGCGAAATTTTGCCTGGGCAGCACCCTTTCCGGCTTCTCTTCATCAAAATCTAACTAATTAATCTTCTTTCAAAATAAAGCACAAATGAAAACACTAGACTTCAGTTTTCCATCCCATCTGAAGGGCTAGATCATTATATAATGTATAGTGATATACTATTGTATTAATTATAGATGATCCAGATTGTTATAATGGTACTGGTAGTTCTTATAACGGTAAAACAAGTCGAACTAAATCAGGTCACACCTGTCAATCCTGGACATCAAATAAACCACATCAACATTTCTACTCTGCTAGATATCCTGAATTGGGTAAGTTTTTAAAAATCCTCAAAGTGTTGCACATACAACTTCTCCAGTACTAAGCAAATGATTTAATATTTATTATTCATTGCACACAGATTGAATCTGTTATGCATTGTGAATAAACACTCTTTGCTTTGGACACCGTCTAATCAGAATTTGACCAAAGTACACTAGGAACTTCCCAGAAAGTCATGTGCCACTTCCGATGTCCAATGGGCAACATAAGAGAAAGAAGATTAGAAGAAATACCTGTAGAATGTCAGATGCAGGACTTACTTTTATATAACTTTTTACAGTGCACTCACTCTTTTCCAAATTATCCCCCAACCTCTTGAATAATTCCTTTATTCAATTCTCCATATTTCATTGGGTATCCACATGACAGAGGAAAAAACACTGTATGTTCTCAGGGGTTAAGTATGTCTCGTAAACCATTTCTGAGGCATTTAGTAATTGAAGTGGATATGCACAGGTCCTAGCTGGTGCTATTACTGAGTATGTCTCGTAAATCATTTCTAAAGGCATTTGGTAATTGAACTGGATATGCACAGGACATAGCTGATATTGTTTATTACTGAGTGAAATGTCGAATAGGATGCTCGTTCTCTCTCTAGTCTGGAGAACCACAGTGGCTCAGTGGGTAAGATGCTGGCTCGCTAGTCTAGTACGATAAAAAGCATAGTCTTGATCATCCATTTCATGATTAAATTATGAATGGACGTCGAGCAGCAAATGGGATCATAATCCAGTAAATATTGCAGGCTAGCGATGCCATCAAGAGTTGATTGTGGTCTGGATAAGTTAATTAATATCTAATTAATAATTTCGATAACATTTCAGGCCTAAAGAAAGACCCTGCAATTGGCAGATTTAACTCTTCCATAATGTATGTTTAATACAAAAATTAATTTTGTATTTTTTCTTTGTAGCAAAAGATGGTCATAACTACTGTCGTAACCCTGGTAATGAGGAATCGGAACCATGGTGTTTTACCACCAATAAAAATGTGGTAAAAGAAATGTGTGACATCCCAAAATGTGGTAAGATTTTTTTTTCTGTATGTCCAGGTGATTTCCCTTTTTAAACTGTTATCTGAAAACCAACATTTCATCAAAAAATTGAGAAATCTATAAAATAAGCTTATGGTTTGGGATAGATTGGAAATTTTGTTGTGTTAGGGGTTTTTTTTGTTGATAAAATAAGCCTGTGGTTTGGGATAGATTGGAAATTTTGTTGTGTTAGTGTTTTTTTTTGTTGATAAAATTTTTGATTAAGCCCTTGTTGAAATATATATATATATATATATATAGAGAGAGAGAGAGAGAGAGAGAGAGAGAGAAAAAAAATGGGGTTTAATGTCTACTTTACACAAACTAACATATGGTTCAATTTTAGTTCATTAATTCACTTGCGCGTATGGGTATTTAGAGTGGGAGGAAACCGGAGGACCCGGTGAAAACCCACGAGGTGGGACAGGCGACCCTACTCCTTGTCATGCACAAGCAGGAAATCGAAACCACTCCACTTGACTCAATGACAGATCTTATGATTTCATGCGCACGTGTTACACCACTAGACCACTAACAGGTACAGCGTGCATGTAAAAGATCCCTTGACAGTTGGAATTCGATATAAAAGTAGGCCATAGTTCAGTTGCCCAGCCAAAATTTCCCACATAGCACACTGTATGGTGTATGCTTGTCTTCATTTACCCTGTTGGAGCAGAACAGTAAGACATTAAACCCCATTTCATTTTATTTCGGAATCAAAATCTCTCAAATGACTATCGAAGGCTTTAATGTCTACAGATAAAAAGAAAATTAGAACCATATTTTATAACATTAGCATACAGAGAGATATACTTTAGTTTTAGGTGAAGACTTTTGAAGTAGATTTTTACTGCTTTAAACTTAGTGTTAAGAGTTATCAAGTGTTTCACAGCGTTTAAAGACAGCTACTCTAGTAACTCTGAAGCACCAGTGAACATCATAACATTAAAAAAAATTGTCTCCAATATCAAAAGCCTTTGTTTGGATATAAAACTTTTGTAGTGTAATAAAGGCGTTAAGCTCTTAGTTTGTCGACTTTGTCCTTTGCTTGATAAGTCCTTTAATAGGTAATGTGTTTAGTTGGTCTGTATATAATTTATGATACCTGCGTGTGTATTAATATTGATATTAGGATAACCCTGGGTACAGGCAACCTGTGGTGTTTCTTAATACAAACCGATATTCGACATTCCTCTTAGCTTTTATAGCTGTCATTTCAAACCAGCCATTTAGCTTATGTTACCTCATAAACTCTTGTAGCACCCCACCAATTTTTTATTATTTAAACCTAAAATGGTTGAAAATTCAAGTCCAATAATAATATAATGTGAAGTGATCAGATTTCAGTTGAATTCTACACTATAATAATCTTTGTGTCATCTATAAATCTGCATCTCTAAACATTTAAATAACCCTAATATTCGCATGAAAAACAGGTTCAAACCTGGTGTATTATTATAATATGTAATATAATATTTAGAACAAATAGATATTATTAAAATTCATAAAGAAGGTATTTTAAACCGCAAATTAAAAATATGTTGATATCAAATTTAAGTCATTATATTACCTCACATTATGAAAATGATATTTCATAAAAATGAAATCGTTAGGGGTTATCGTCGCCTATAGTCTGTGCATTTTAAATAAAAAGTGTATTATTTAATTAGATATTTTTCTTACCTCAAATGATTTACACAGAAAAAAAGTTACTTTATGATTACTATATTTATGGCTTTTTGTAACATAAATTTTAATTTTATATAGATTTAATCATAATGTAATGTCTGTTCCTAGACATACAGGGGGGGGGGGGGGGTGAATGGCCGAATGGTTAGCATGTACGCGCTGTATCATAAGGTCTGTCATTGAGTCAACTGGCGTGGTTTTGATTTGCCTGTTGTACGTGACAAGGAGTAGGGTCGCCTGCCTAAACTCGTGGGTTTTCTCAGAGTCCTCCAGTTTCCTCCCACTGCTAAAGACCCCTACTCGCAAGCTAAAGACCCCTATGCTCAAGCAGACTGCTGAAATAAAATTGAACCATATGTTAGTCCTGAAATGAACTAATTTGTGTGGAGTGGACATTAAACCCCATTACTCTCTCTCCCCTAGACAGAAAAATGTCATCGTTAAAGAAAACAATGCACAGATTTAAAGATTGTATCATTTCTGTTTTTTTTTTAAAAATGCACAAAGGTAGTGATTAAATTTAGGAAAAATTACTAAAAAAATATTTTCTTTTTTTTTAGACACTTTACCAGCATTTAATTCTGGAAATCAAGGAACGAGTACCCATGTACCTGGTAAAGAAGGAAATAAATTGATGTTTATATTGGTCCCTGGTATAACAGTACCCCTAGCCCTAGCCTTACTCCTCGCTCTCGTCTGCTTCTGTCAAAGATCACGCAGCAACAACAGCAAGGGAAAAGTACCAAGTCGCAATGCAAACAACAGCCACGAGATGAGTCCGATAAATCCCAAGACTACCACTAGAGCTCGCGAGTTTCCTATGGGTAACGTGCGTTTTCTTCAAGAGTTAGGAGAAGGCGCATTTGGTAAAGTCTATAAAGGAGAATTGATGGGTCTTTACGGAGATAACACCATGACTAAAGTTGCCATAAAGACCCTCAAAGAAAACGCGGCAGCAAAGGTTCAAAATGATTTTCGGAGAGAAGTGGATCTAATGTCGGAAATGCGGCATCCTAATATAGTTTGTTTGCTGGGTGTGTCGATGAAACAGGATCCTATGTGTATGTTATTTGAATATATGACTCATGGCGACCTGCACGAATATCTGATCGCGCATAGCCCTCACTCGGATATTTCAAATCTGGAGGAAAGTGGTCAACAGAAAATCTTGGATTATTTGGATATGTTGCATATAGCCTCACAGATAGCGGCCGGAATGGAATATCTAGCAAGTCATCATTTCGTTCATCGTGATTTAGCGGCAAGGAATGTGCTTGTGGGAGATAACCTGATTATTAAGATTTCGGATTTCGGTTTATCGCGAGATATCTATTCGTCTGATTACTATCGTGTCCAAAGTAAATCTCTGTTGCCCGTTCGTTGGATGCCACCGGAGTCCATCATGTATGGAAAATTCACCACGGATAGCGATGTTTGGGCTTTTGGTGTTGTCCTCTGGGAAATCTTTAGCTTTGGTCTACAGCCTTATTATGGATTTTCAAATCAAGAAGTAATTGAGATGATTCGTTCGAGACAAATCCTGCCCTGTCCTGAAGATTGCCCGGCGAGAATTTATGGTCTGATGGTAGAATGTTGGCACGAGATGCCCAACAGACGACCTCCATTTAGAGAGATGCATGCCAGACTACGAGCCTGGAAAGGAGAAATCATGGCCAGTCAGAATCCTCACTGGAGTCTGTCTCAAAGTCAGTCAGCTCATTCAGGCAGTACCCACCAGAGTTCGCATAGTCAGCCGAGTCACCATAGCAGTACCGGGCCGAGTAATACCACGGCTGTGACAGGTCTAACGGGGAGTAGTAACACATCCGATCAGTTAATGCCTTATCCCCAGCAATACGCTCAACAAGCAGCGCCACAGCACATGATGCCACAACATCATCCTTTTATAGGCAATCAACCCGGAGCTCCCATGCAACCTGGTCATCCCCTGTATATGGCTCGTTTCCCCATGCCCCCTCCTTATAATGGAAATCAAGCTACGAAAGGGGCTAATACAGCTGGCTCCGTAGCCAGCTCCAAATCATCCAGCAGTACTTCGGCCTCTGAGACACCAACGAGACCCCAACAACCTACTAATAATAGTTCATTTAAAAATAACGGACAAAATCAACAACATAATTTTAATACAAATGGTCTAGCTGCGCCACCGCCAGTGTCTGTAGGTGATTGTAATCGCTTTAATAACCTAATGGCACATAATGTGTACATTCCTGATACACGGACTTCAGCAATATGACCAGTTACCTCCCTTGGGAGTTAATCGCTCGGTTAATAAATAAATAATTATACTTCTGTATAAATAAAACAATAACAAATTACAGAAATGTTTTACAAGTTGAGTTTTGTTTCAACTTAATACTTAATTATTGTTGGTGGTTGAAAAGTGCTTAGATTGTTTTTATTGTTATGTATTGGATATTCGTATAAAACATAGCGTGAAATATAACAACGTTACACAGTTCTCGCAGTCAGACTTTAACTCTTGAAGTTATCTATTGTGACTTGCGACTGTATAATAACGAAAGTTATTGACATTTTATAATGTGGTATGCAAGAAGAAGATTATTGTACAATAATTGTACGGAGGACTCGAAGATTAAAATATTACATTACAAACACTATTATTTGTGGTGCTAATCATTTTTCTCTTTATTATTATTTTTTTTTTTTCTTTCGTATTTTAATTGTAAAACAGAAATTTTATGCATCATTGCTGGAGCTTTTATTTTTCAAAGTTTACTAAATTTTGTTATTTTTAAACAATGAAATGATGAAACATACCAGTACATACTAACTGTCCATTTGAATTTCGAATTTACATTAATGGATTAAAGATCTTTAATTGTATCTCAATGGTAAAATTTTGAATGTAAAAATTATCTTTAAGGAGAACAGTTGAAGTATATTAATAGTTTTTTTTTTTTTATGAATAAAATGTATTTTAGTCATGCCAGTTTATAAATGGTATTATTGTGTAGATAAGGACCATTTTAATGGTATTTATGATTTTAAATATATATTATATTTTAATTGTATATAAACGTCAAAAAAACATCATTTCAGATACAAGATAATCAAAAAGAAAGCATGGGTAATATGAGCATGCATCGTGCGATGCATTACGATAGAGTTGTCCATATTGGTTCCACGATCTGGTACGTGCAGATACGTTCGGATATGTTTGGATACGACCAACACGATTGCTACGACTGGCCTCAATATAGGATAAGACTTGATAAGATCATCACGATTACTCCATGATTAAAACCATGATTTCAATCGCAGCACAAATCATGATAGTGGGAACCTAGCATTAGTATTAACTTCACCAGATTGGTTGAAATTTGAATTCCTATAACATTTTCAATCAATCAGATAGCTTCCGTTTTCAATTTTCAATCCATTTCCTGGGCTAAATATCTGTTCCCAACAATATAGGCTGAAATCTGTGCCGATGGTTTGACTTATGGCCCAGGTCCGAAAATTTGACAGGAATTTACCATCAACGTCCTGGCCAAGTTTTTTGACTTTCGGTTGGCCCTTTCACTGCCCACTTTTCTTTTTTGGATGCCAATGTTTGAAATGAAACATCTGTATTCCCGCTAGCTTTGTAAAACAAATTGTCTTGAAGAGCTAGAACAGTATACTGTGCACAGAGTCGGAAATATCCTTAGGCCAGTGCTGTTCGATTGATCAAGACTTGAATCTTCTCGCAATAGTTGCCTTGTATTACTAAGAAAGCAAGTTGAATTTAATTCTGGGACATCTGGGAGATATGATTGCGCTGTTGGAATGCCAAGACTTGATTCTTTTCACAATGATTGTCACGTATTACGAAAGCAAGTAAATAGAATTTAATTCTGGATTGACATTAAGTATAAAACAGTATAGATAATCTTGTATATTGAAATGATGATGTTTTTTGTATGTTACTGTTCATGTGATAATAAAGAGAGCAGTGGTTGTTAAACTATTTCTAATTAGCACATAATATAATCTTGTGTGTTGTTCGTTTTGTCGTCGTCGTCGTCGTTCATTTTAGTTGTCTATTTATTTTAATATCAAGTCAAACTTGCGTGCCTCAGTTTTAAAACAAAGCATAATAACCTTTCTTTTTTCTATTTTGTATGGATCTTTTTGTTTGTGTAGGTTTTTGTATTGTACATATTTAGCTGTAAACCTAGAGAGATTTTGAAAATGCACATTGAGGGGTCATATTCATGAGAAATACGTTTTATGGATACTACATTTTTCATTGACTGAAAGCTTCTATGTTGGACTCTCAGTTAATAATATGGTAGTGCTGTTAATATGTTCAGCAGTATCAGATTTTGATGGAAATTACCTTCAAAAGCATTTAAATGATTTTACATCAAAATAATGAAATGATTATCTATACTTACAATATGTAATCAGGGAGATCGTAATTTTTACATAAAAAAAAAAAAGATCAAAACTATTTTTTTGAATCTTACCCATTCTCATTTACAATTTTACATTTGTATCATTTTGATAATGTATTTATTATTTAGAATTTTTTTAAATTTAGAAAATGATTTCAGTACAATTTACATTTTAATGCTAGGATGCTTTAAAAAATTAAAGATAGATTTTTATTGCTATGATGACATCGCGATCTGAAAATTCAACAAACTTTGAGCTGATGAAACTACTATTTCTTAAAATCAATTTATAAAAGTTGTAAGAAAAATGAGTTTTTGTTTTGTTTTTGTGATTATTGTGTTTTTATCCACGATTGTAAACTAGTCATATATAGACAAAGACACTTTATTATAAATTGTAAAGAATTATTCAAATATGCATTTATAATACTACATGATATAATATAATGAAGGGTTGGTGGAAAATGCCCTCTGATGCCCTGTAGCAGGCCCCGAGTTCACATAGCATTCTCAGACTTAAGTTAAGAATTTAGTCAACTTTCAATCACTTGATTTATAAGAAATATCTTTGATCCAGAAACATAAATCTTTGCACAGAGTTTCTTATTGAAATCTGTGCTAGCCAACATGACAGGCACCAGAGAGATTGTGATTAATAACGAATGGTACCGGGAACCTAGCATAAGCCCAAGCCGTAGGTCTGGCTGTCTAAGCAGAGGCTTACTGATAGGTCTAATTTTTTACATATATCGAACCCAAGATGCCACCCATCGCCCTGCAATTCATGGTCCTGTTCTCTATGTGTAGAAGCATCTGGAGGCTTAAGGGCAACAGGGTTTTTAGAGGGTGTTTCACACCAACCATATAATAATGTGTGTGTTTATGATAAAGCTATCTTAAAAACAGATTGTAAACTTATTTCATTTTAAAACACATCTAGATATATTATAGATATTATTTATATTGTCAATTAAATATCAGGAAGAAAATTGTTTCAAGTCCTGCTGCAATATAACCTTATATATCTGTAAATAGCTAATAATATACAGTATGTCAAATACATTTTAGTAATATTCTACTTTCATTTTGCTCAGTATATATGATATGGATAAACAGAATGAACTGTAGAAGTACATATTTCTGGAGACAAAATGTTCATATAAATTACTTCGCAGTATTTCAGATTATGTAATTGTGTAGGAAAGCTTTAAAAGATATCATTTTCATTTTGCTTTCTAATAATATACATGTGAAAGTTTGATATGGATATTAGTTTTTATACGCCACATTGAAATGTGGACGTATATTGCCGTCGCCCCCGTCTGTCCGTCTGTCGGTCCGTCCGTCGGTCCGTCCATCGTCCACAATTTCTTGTGAACGCACTAACGCCAAAAGTTATCATCCGATCTTTCTGAAATTTACATGCATTATTTAAATTAGTGAAATGAAGAAGCCTATTGAATTTCAGCAATTTCCATTTATTACATCTAGAGTTATGGCCCTTGTTTCACTTTATTGAACCTTGTGAACGCTCTAACGGCAAAAGTTATCATTCGATCTTTGTGAAATTTATATGCATTATTAAGATTACTGAAACAAAGAAGCCTATTGAATTTCGGCAATTTCCCTTTATTACGTCTAGAGTTATGGCCCTTGTTTCACTTTATTGATCCTTGTGATCGCTCTCACGTCAAAAGTTATCATCCGATCTTTCTGAAAATTATATGCATTATTTAGATTGCTGAAACGAAGAAGCCTATTGAATTTCGGCAATTTCCGTTTATTACATCTAGAGTTATGGCCCTTGTTTCACTTTATTGATCCTTGTGAACGCTCTCACGTCAAAAGTTATCATCCAATCTTTCTGAAATTTATATGCATTATTTAGGTTACTGAAACGAAGAAGCCTATTGAATTTCAGCAATTTCCGTTTATTACTTCTAGAGTTTTGGGCCCTTGTTTCACTTTATTGATCCTTGTGGACGCTTCAACGCCAAAAGTTATGATTCGATCTTTGTGAAATTTATATGCATTATTTAGATTAGTGAAACGGAGAAGCCTATTGAATTTCAGCAATTTCCGTTCATTATTACGTCTAGAGTTATGGCCCTTGTTTCACTTTATTGATCCTTGTGAACGCTCTAACGCAAAAAGTTATCACCCGATCATTGTGAAATTTATATGCATGAATTAAATTAGTGAAACGAAAAAGCCTATTGAATTTCAGCAATTTACAATAATTACTTCTAGAGTTATTGCTCTTGTTTCACTTTGTTAAACCTTGTTTATGCTCGATTGATAATAGTTATCATCCGATATGTATGAAATTTATATGCATCATTTAAATTTGTGAAACAGGTCTATTGAATTTCAGCAATTTCTGTCAATAATTTCTAGAGTTATGGCGATTGTGAATGTTTGAATGACAAATGTGATCTGTATGAAATTTATATGCATAAATTAATATAACGAAAAAGCCTGTCAAATATCAATAATTTCTGTAGATTACTTCCAGAGTTAAGACCCTTGCTTCAGTTTGTAGAACCTTGTAAACCCTCAAACGACAAAATTTATAATCTGATCTGTATGGAACTGTCTTATAAAGGCTCCCAATTACCTACAAAGGAATAAATATGCGACAACCCTTGACGACCGCTCGGACGATTTAGCTGCTGTGGGCGTATGTTTTGTTGCCTGGCAACCTATCTTTATTTATTAACAGCATTTCATCACTAGATATTATAAAGTGAAAATTTATAAAGGCTCGCTTCCCCTAAAACGAAAATGCATAAGAATTAAATCTCAATGCACATAGTTTCAGCAACAAATTATAGCTGGGCACATTGCACTTGTGGAGAAATAGTAGGCTCTATTAATAATAATATGGGCCCAAATGATTTTGTTTTCTTTTTTTATTTTTGCAAATAATTTTACACATTAAATTTTATTCAGAATATTAGAAAACAGTACCAGTTTCAGTTCTGAACTAAAATTCAATCTATTCAGTGTACTTTATGCAGTTATCAAGTTTATGTACTTGGTTATAACTGTGATTTAAGTATCGGCCTTAACCTCAAGTTAATTTAAGTTTGGTCTTTGTACTATTGTTTTGTTAGATCCATTTTAGTCATATAAAATAAAGAATGGCTATTAAATTCAATAACTGAAGAATTCATATTGTGCCTTTAAGCCATTTGAAAAAATGAATTGTTAAATTAT